ACAGGACGAGGCGGTGGCGGCGGCGCTCCATGAGAGTCCAACGTCAGTTCGGACTACGGAGTATTGTGGGGTTACCCCCTCACCTCTGTAAGCTCGGCACCACACGACACGTGGCACACGAACGGCATATCCCGAGTTTCGGGCGTAGCCCGTGTACGGGCCGTGCCGAAGGGTGCGCACGGGGTCCGCCAGCAAACAGCAACGACGCGGAAGACGGCCCAGGAGGAGCGGGACGGGCAAGAGGAGGGAGGAGGGACGAAGCGACCGCAGGAGGGACCCACGTTTTTGCACCAAAACTTAGAGACACAGCATCTGCCTCGATGCGACTGAGACGGGGGCGCACAACACATTCATGTCACAGCCTGGCACGTGCAACAGTCAGCTAAATGCCGACTACTTCAATCTCAGGTCACCCTCCCTTCGGGCAAGCACGCGTAACTCAAGAGGCTCAAGCACAGATCAAACTTCATGCACCATCTGCAGCCTAGTGGCTCAACACATTACAGGCTGACAAATCTAGCAACACTGAACTGCTGGCCCTCACTTTGGTCACTTGCCGTCACTGCCGATACCATCTCCCACCACATATCTCAGAACGACCAGCACTAGTAGACTCCACTCCTATGCCGCCATCGCTTCGAGAATCTTCTGGCCCTCGACCTCGAGATGGCCCGCAGGACGCGGATCAGACCACGCCGTCTTCTTCTCAGCAGCTTCCACCGCGCACCAGATTGTGTGCTCCAATTTCTCGTTCTCCATCGCGATGATGAGCCGCTTCTTCTTGCTGTCGTACATGTTCTCCGTCCAGAAGAGGCCTGCCATGTGCTGGGTCTCACGACTGCCAGGCTTGAACTTCGCCAAGTACTCCGTCAGATCGCCCTTGACCTCAGCTGAAGCCGTCTCCACAAGCGTGATGCATGCGGCCGTGAGGTTGAACGAGTCGGGTGGGCCAAGACCATGCCCCGTCTTGCCACGCACGCGAGGGAGGTACTCCTCATTGTGCGCCTTCTGCATTGCCTGCCATAGAACTCCTTCCGTACTGAGCTCACACTGCGACGTGCATGCCGCCTCTAGGAGACGAAGTTTCTGATGTGCGATCACACCCAGGCGCAAGAAGATGTTGATCTTCGTCTTGTCCTCCGTATTCTCAGCCTTCGCGTACTTCACTGCCCGACCGTGTGGTGCCGCCGACGCATCTCCAGGGCCCGCCGTTGCAAACTGCTCAGCCCACATAGCGCCACACGGAACCACTAATAGAGAACTTTCGGTATCGTAATCTCGACACCTCTGATCCACGATAGCGGCAACCACAACATGTTAGCGCACCTAATTCTCACGCAATGTTGACCGAGGAAGATGTGTGACCAGATGAGCCGTGGCCGCGATATATGATGCGAATTCGCTGTCACACAATTCACACCGGCAGGGAGGATCTATAGTGTTCGTGTGGATGGTCACCGGGCCCCTGGATTTCGGACATACTCCCCGAACGATACTGACTTCCAAGTGCTCCGAAGCATATCGACGGGCAGTGTAGACATTATCACATTTAATCATGTATTGGACACCGTAAGGATCTTAGCAATGGTCTTTTTCCCATGGCCTTCTGCTTTTGAGTTGGCTTGGTGCAACATTAGCTGCCTGCGAGAACAACATCCCATCCCACATCCCACGATATCGCACACACATGGAGCGGGGACTGGAACCTCGGGAACTAATTCAAGGCCAGGGGTCTGCTGGACCTGCACCTCGCCTCCTCCTTGATGTCCTCCCTCTACCTCCTCCATCTCCTATTCGCCTCCACCTCCTCTGTGTAGATCTCCTCGAACGTCCTCGGTCCTCCCTCTGCTCTCTTGACCTGCGATACCTTCACTGACAGGAAGGCGTCCCTTACCTCCGAACTGCAAAAAAAATCCACCAGCCTTTGGAGTAGTGCGGGTCGCACTTCGGGCATGCCTAAATCGACAATGCATACAGAAATGTCCAATAAGAATTGGCCCCACCATTGATGAACTGAGCTGGCGCCTGGTGCAGCCCTAGCGTTACCCTGCAGGTCGCATGAATTGTGATGGTCCCAAGCCGCATATCCAAAAGTCTCTGCCAGCACCAGCAGATGCTTCTCTGGTGCTCTCACTACTTCTTGCCACCAGCGAATCCTCCAACCTCTCAACGTACAGTAGGGGGCTCTTAGTCGCATATCCTTTCTGATCTCTGTGTTGGGGAGTGGACGGTATCGTTTCGGGCATTCGCTGGTGGCAGCAATCTTCAAACATCCCTTGCCCTGCATGGCGCGCCGAGCGAGGTGCGCCTGAATTCCTTTCAACCGCTGCAAGTCAGGCTCGCCGAGCGGGTAGGCAACTAGCTCCGCCAACAGAGATCCTTCCACCATGTTTTGAAACACCGCCGTCCTCCCCTCACGTTCGAATTTTCAGGCCAAAAACTGCCGAATACTGCAAAAGCTTGCCTAGCTCGCCGAACACGAAAGTCAATTACTGGCTTC